AAAATTGGGGTATCTGTTGCTGAGTTGCATTTTCAAGATTATGGTGATGATTATTATGTTTTTGTCTGAAAAACAGTGGGTTTAAAATCACAACATCTCTGCAAAGGACTCCATTGCAAAGGCCTATTCCAGACACTGGAAACCACACTTAGATACACTTCATCATTTTTTGCCTTTTCAAATACAGATGTACACCTTGAATGATTTTGTTCCCTGAGCTAGAGCCAGGTTACAGCAGTGCCAAGGATGAAGAACAGTTTTGTACATCTGCAGGAAAAGATTCTCCATCCCCCTTATCTGGAAGAAACTGTTGGATGAGGGAACTAGATACATCAGATGAGCTAGTGTGTGCAGTGATAATCTGAAGTATTTCCTTTTATCTTTTCCTTTAGGGCTCTGGAACATAGTCCTAGTTATGTTCTGTGCCAAGCTAAGGATGACTGGAGAAAGCATTGACTAGAAGAGACATGCTTCCAAGGAACCTGAGTCAGGATAGGATGCATCACAGCAGCTCCACGTGGGAAGCACATCACTGCTAAGGGAGAGGAAGGTTTGGGAGATGTTGGCTTCCCAGGGCTGTCATTGCTCTGCTGCCGTGAAGTCGAGCTGACCTGGGCATGCAGCTTCTTTCAGTTCTTCCCAGAGCTGGGGTGTTGGATGAGCCAGGATAAGCCACTAACCCACAGCTGCAGATGAACATGAAAAGGGCTTTGAAACACTCTTCATGCTGAAGGGGTTGGGGAGCAGTGCTTCTGCTGCTTGCAGGAGTAATTCTTCACCTCTCTCTTCTAACAGGACCGAACACCTATACCAAAATGCAGCTGCTGCTGGGGTGGGGATGTTTGCTATTGTAGAGGAGGTAAGGGGCTGGATGTTGGTGTTCTTAACCATGTTAAAGTGTGTTTGTAACAAAGCCTGAGCCTTACTAGGCTCAGTGCTGTTATTCCGAAATTGGGGATAAAAAGGAAACAGGCAAATGATATGTGAGTCTACTAGGTAGCAGTGTGGTTGCGCAAATGACACCCATGTATGGATGGGAGTCTCTCGGATGTTTATCTCCCACTGACGTTTCCAATTGGGAATGTGCAACTCACCATGGCAGTTCTAAGCCATCCATTCTACGAAGACTGTTGGGCAACACTCAGCATCTTCCAACATCTACAAAGTGAGGTTTCCTTTAACGATATGGAGTATGATCCCTTAGATGCTTTGAGTGAAGGGACAGAGCTCATGAAGTATCTGAGTATTGTATTCAGACCTTTGGGCACTGATTAGTAGCTCTTGGGGTTGAAATTCCTTCACTGGGCATGGTAATGAAGTGATACACATACCCTGGATAAACAGGTTGGTGGTAGTTCTGTAGCTAAGTGCCTGTGGGTTAATATTAGTTAAAACAGACCTATAAAAGGAACTCAAGAGCTTAAAATGCCTCTGAGGGAAGCATAGTCCTGGTGGATCTGCTACTCAAAGGCATGGTATCTCTAGTGCTTGCTGTGCTCAGGGTTGCCTTCAGCAATGGTTCAAGCCTTGGGCTGCCGAGCTGCTCAGGAAGCCTTGCTGTGAAGGTTGGGAATAGGCAACAACAGGACTGATGCAGTTAATTTAGGGGCTGTGCAAGGAGCTGACCAGTTTCCCTACATCAGGAAAACTTACCACCATGTCAAGAGACTGCATGGCCCATCTTCTGGGCAGACAATTTACTCACATGCAGTGAAGCTGTGCTGTCAGGCAGGATCCAGTCCGGCTTCTGCTCTGTTCTGCTTTAGCGCAAATGCCTGCAGCCATCCTCACCCTGTGACAGGTATAAGAAATTGCTGCTTTTCTATCCTCCCTTATCTTGCCAAAGCCTGTCAGGACAAATAGTTAGTCCTTGGGTTTCAATTAAGACCTTCATCATCATAAGACAGTATTTCTCCTCTTGCCCCTCCCATTCTGTTGCAGTCTGGATTATTTTTCCCCAGCAGTGCTTCGTAACTCCACACAAGGTAAATAGATGCTGCAACAACTCAAGATCTCTGAAAGATCAGGCCCTGGAGAGTCCCAGCGTGCTCAGAGAATCTAGGTCTTGGGTACAAGCAACCCAGACACCAGATGGGCTGATGAGAAGCTGATGTGCGTGAGCAGGCAGAGGATTTTTGTGTTCCTTCCTTCTTGCCTTCCCTGAAGATGCTGCATCAAATCAGCACAGTGCTCACACAGGTAGGGTCCAGCCAGGGGTCCCTGGGGAGGGCTAGACACCCTCTTCCCAATGTCTTTACTGCCATGGTAGGAGGTGGGCTGGTTCCGTCAGCCCCTCCTTGTGTTTCAGGTGCTGCGTGTTCCACTGTAGGAACATAAAAATACCACTGCAGCCAAAAAAAAATGGTGTAAACCTTCAACTGCTCGCATGCATCTGTCAGTGTGGACATAAAACAGCAGGTATGGACAATTTACATAGATTTATATGCCATGATGGTAGACATTTTAATGTGCTTTGGGTAGAGATGCATGAATCTAGGGCTCATAAGACAGGGAAATACACTGAATTAACTCTCTTTCTGGGCTATTTCTCAAGAATATTTCTGGCCTTGGGCAAATGTGAAAAGCCCAGAACGAAGACAGATTGCTCAGCTCCCCATGGTTAATAAATCATTATTTTTAAGCACATGGTTTGGGGCCCAATTAATATTAGTCTTTGGCTATCTTTCGTATTGGACAAACCTCAGCTCCGTGGAGCTTTATTTTGTGGAACAAAGCAATGAAAAACGCGATTTGCACTTGTGTTTGTACATAACTGCTGGTACAGGGGTAAGAGCAGTAATCAGTCAGTCACCAGCATGGAAAAGCTACTCATGAAATCACTAGTACTTTTATTTGATTAATAACAAGAGGCATTTTTTTGCTGTTTTATATATATCTAAATATAGTACCGTGTTTGTATGTAACTGTTGAACCTGCTCCTGGTGGGACCTTTGTGTCATGCACCTGAATGTACAAAAAAAATCCTTTGACAGTCTTTACAAAGAGTTACAAAACACACGGATGAGTTCCTAGGGCTGCAACCACAACATGTTGCTATTTGGTTCAAGTATGCAGCAACCATTCAAGAGTAAAAAAGATTATACTAAAGACCTAAAACCAAACCAAATGTAAACAAAAAAGGTATGAAGATGACAGTTACTGTGGAAAATGAAATCAAAGTTACAGCGGGTCTCGCTGCCCTCAGTTCTCATTTACCCTGTCCACCCATAGCCCTTCTGCCTGAAAAGGGAAAGGAAGGAATAGAGGAAGAGAAACTGCGACAGGAGGGAGTAAGACCATGTAAGGGAAAGAACTGAATTTAACTGGCACATGCTCTAATCCTTAGTTTATTTCTGGTTAAAAATATAGCAATCCAGTGCAATGTAATAAGAAATCTGCTGAAAAGGTAGCAGAGAAACAGCTAAAACAGAAGCAAAGCAAAGCTGAGTCCGCAAGTCAGGGCTGTACCCAACACCTCTGTATGTGAAATGTCGAGGAGGATTTGTTCCCTCCTTCCTCCCCCCAACTGTAGCTGTGGAAAGGGATTCATCCCACCCTCGGGTTGCTGCTATGCTCGCACCCCTTCTCCTGCTGACTGGCGCTGCAGTGGGTAGAACTGAGGGTGGAATTTGGTCCCTGGACGTACCAAATCCCAAACTGAAGCCATTTGGACCATACCTGGTGGTGGTGGAGGATCACCGGCAGAGCCGATCTCCATGGTGGGGACAAGGTACCAGTAGAGTCAGTTTTGAGAAGCAAGGGGCCATTGCCCACTTCCAAGCTATTGAGCTAAGGCTGCACTTGTGTGATGGGGACCATAACAGCTCAGAACAGGGATACGGCATCTTTAATGAGTATGCATATTATAAGTGGGAACAGGGGAGGGGAGAAAATCAAGGCAGGCATATTACAAAGATGGTATAAACGAACAAATTAAGTGACATAGAAAAAAATAAAATAATACATCTTTAGAGGCTGCCATTGCCAATGATGTTTGGTTTTTTGTTTTTCTTTTTTTTTTCTTTTTTTTCTTTTTTTTTCTTTTTTTTTTTTTTTTTAACAGGGACATGTTGGAAGCTGGAATATACATCCTGCATTACAAAGTGCAAAATACCACATGCTTAGAGCCCAAGCATGATGTCTGAAACAGTCCACAGCAAGATGTAAAGAGACAAACCCACCACCCTCGCCCTCCTCTCTGGGGCATGCTCCAGTGCTCCTCCCCAGATGCCTTTGAAGAGCAGTTTTACCTTATTTTGCTGTATTATGATTTATTGTTATCTGAAGTGGATCAGAATCAAGCCCTCTTTCCCCAGTCCCTCCCCACCAGTCTGCTCCCCAGCATCTCTGTTCATGCTTGTGTTTGGGGTGGGATGCTCAAGTTAACGCTGCTCCTCGCGTGGTGGCGAGCATAGCACAATGACCAGCAGCTACTCAATTTGTGTTGCTGAAGGTGCCTCTGTTTTTTGAGGGGAATCTGGGTTTTACCCATGTAAAACCTGCTTGAATTAAAAGTAGCACTGGGTGGTTTTCCAGCCCTGCCATGGTGGGGAGCAGCCTGGGGAGGAGGAGGAGTGAAGGCAGGAGGGTGGTGGGGCTGCTGCTCACACCTTGTGTCCCCTATTCCCCCCCCACCCCAAGAAATTTAACAAAACACCAATTGCTGCTTTGTTTTAAAAACAAGTAATAAAATGGGGCCCATTGCCCTTCTCTCATCTTTCACATCCAGACAGGGTTCATGCCTTCCCTGTGTTCCTTCTCTCCTCCTTCTTACAGCAACGCTTCTCCATTTGCGAGGGGAGAAGGAAGAAAAGCCTGATTTTGCTTTTCTCTCCCATTTGTCATTAAAGCTGTTGTGGATTTCCCTGGGAAGCTCAGCCTGGAGCATCCCAGGACCCGTACATCAAACAAAATCTCCCCATGATCCCCCCTGCATTATCTGGTCTCCATTTTGGGGTTCATTGCTGTTGTTCTGAATATATTTTTTTGCGGGGTGAGGGGAAGGGAAATGAGGTTTTTATTTTGTTGGGATTCCTTCTCATCCTTTCCAGTGTTGGGGGGGCAGAGTGTTGATAGCATTTTGCCATGCCACACAGCATAGTGTTATACAAGCAAAGAATTTTGGCTAAAATCCAAAAAACATTACCCAGGAAAAAAGGCAAACTGTGAGTGAGACTCGATCATTTGTTGTTCTTCTGTGAAAAGACTTGGAAATTGTCGTAGGACAGTTCAACTTATGATTTTTTTTTCCCCTTTTGTCGTTGTTGTTCGAGATTTTTTTTTTCCCCATTCATACATGGAACTGTTATTTTTGCAAACAAGACAGTCTTGAATTAGATGAAAAAGTTAATAAACAAAATGGCGACTCCAATATTAAGTAAGATCACCATGACTACCAGGATGGGAGCTGAGCCCTGGAAGAGAAAGAGAAGGAGAGGAGTTAGAAGGTATGTTCAAAGTCTGTCTAAGGCTGCATTGGAGCAGGGATGGGAGATGACCTGGGTCTTGGATACTGCAGGGCAGGTAGACCCCAAACTGCCCATTTATACCCTTAAATGGGCACCCCCACTGAACTACTGTATTAGGAAGGTGTGAGTAAAGATCTCCCCCTTGGAGGTGAGCAAAGAGCAAAATCAGGGACTGAACGCAGCTCCATTGCCTATCCTGGGACAATAAACAGGTTGCATCTAGCTTCTTCATCCAAGGACAGCATCCTCCTAAGGCAGCCTCTGCTTCTGCAAAGGCAGACAAATCCCTCTCCCGGTTCAGCAGAAAGGAATCAGCCCCTGCCAGGAGCACTTTGCTCCCTCCTCACTCTGACCCATAGCGCAAGGTGTTCTTGGGGCCTGCATCATCTTTGGCAGCTCTGTTCCTCTTATCCCTGTGTGACAGCAGAGCTACTGCACTCCTGCTTTTCTGAGCCACTTCAACACTTATTTCCATCCATTTGCCTCCATGGACATGCATACCTGCAAGTCTGGGGGCCCACTTTGTTTACTGTCATACATTAACACATATGACATGTAAGTGTTAATGCGAGCTTCAGACTTAGTATCTGCCAAGGAAACACTTGGATGCAGAACCACCAGATCCATCAGTTAAGACAGCAGTTGCTTATGGGCTCCCCCATGTTGTGCAGATCAGAAATCTGGCCTTAATAACTAGAATTGGTTGATAGTCAATTAAAAGCAAGTAAACAATTATACTGGGTCATATAGTTGTTTGGGGATGGTTTGGAGGAGTCTTCAGAGGACATTTCCCTGTAAACATGACTGCTTATACAGGTATCCTGATAACAGCGAAAGTCAGGCTGGTATGTTGTTGTCTATATTAAGCCAGCGTTTTGGGAAAGCTTTATTAACCTTTCCTGAGGTTTATATGGACCAAATTAAGCTCCCGAGGACTACACAGAAACCTTTGCAGCAACCTGCACTGCAGCTGGCTCATGTCAGACACCCTCCCTAGGCTGGCTCGAAGTGAACTCGAGGAGCATCCACTACCTTCCACTGAGCCAAAAAGGCAGCCCTGACAACCTGTGATGGTCCTGGTGAGGATGAGACTTGGACCCTATTAACATCCCAGGGATGACAGAAGAGACCACTGAGCATGGGGACTGCAAACAACCCTCCAGCGCACTGTTCTGCAGAACACCAGGACACAGTCAGAAAGCATCCACCAAGCCATAAAACGTTTGCTGTCCTGAAGTGTTAACGTGGATAGCATCAGGGTGAGCAAGCGTGTGTGCAGGTAGGTGGTAGCTATTTCTCTGAGTCGCTGGTATCCTCATCTATTCTTGCTGCAACGGAGCAGTGCCAGGTTTCATCACCTGGCATGGTATAATATGCTTTTCTCCATACTCCTCCTAACAAAGCTCCTGAGGCTGTTGGGTTGGCATGGGGCAGAGTGAGTGTTCTTTATAACCAAGTACCACTTTGCAGAGATACTGGGGGGGTGGAAAATGAGTTAAAAAAGGCTCTTTGCTGGCCAGAGATGGTTTCTCTTCTGAGCAGGCTGATTCAGTTTGCGTTTGGGAGTGGGTGGGAGCAAGGATGCTGGAGCTTGCTGGAAAGGCATATTTGTAGCTTAGCAACAGGGTCAAAGGAAGCCAACCAAATGGAAGGATTGCAGAGAGCCTCTCCTGGCAAGCAGGTATCCATGCCTGGCTGCTTCCAGCAAATCCCTCCGCCTGCACCACGCCAAGGCTTTCAAAAGCAGAACCTTCCCCCCCACACTCCCAGCCTTGCTGCCGCCAAGCACTGCGACGCGGTGTGTTATTTACACTGGGGGGGGATTAGCTTCGTTTCAGAAGATTATTGGGTTTTACCATTTTTGAGCTCGTGTTAATGTAATAACAGATTGCAAGTGATTATCATCACTGTCATTGTTTCTGTTGGCAGGGCACCGCAGAAGCACACAATGCATTTGGTTCTCTCCACCTCGCAGCCCGGGGAGGACTTAACTGTTCTCCCTTGTGCTGGCATTAGCCTTGGTCCACTCACCATCTTATGTCCCCTGCCAAAGCAGTGCTGACCAGTTCTGCCTCTGCTCTGCCCAGGTTACTAGATCACTTCAATACCATGGAGCAAATAAAACTGTATATATATAATCTGGGGGATGACAAAAAGCATAGAGCAGGACTGGCCGCCTCTTAATTCCCTCTTACGCTCTGCCCTCACAGGCATGGATGTTTTGGGATGGATCAGAGATCACAACCCTTTGGTACCTATGTTCAGAGGATACTGATGTGATGGTGTCCAGGGAGAGAGCGTGCCCTTCCTTTATACACCAGTACATCAAAGTCGTGCCCTCATCCAACAAAGCTGGGGAATCAACACATATGAACCTGCCTGCATCAGCAGCCATTGGATCCCCATGCACAAATGTTTTGCTCAGGTCCCTGATCCAGCCTGCACTTATTTGTATCTCACACCCCCAGTTCAATGCAGAGGCAGGAGAAAACGTTTGCTTTGCCACTGCACACGTGGGGTTTTCCGTATTTGCCAGCAAAAGCATCTCAGAAATAGGATGACCAGGGAGGGGATTGGTCTTTGCAAACTGAACAGCTCAAATCCAGCTGTCTGACGACCTACACATTCTGCTTCCTTTTCACAGTTAACTCTTTTTAACCTGCTCTTCCCTGCACTAACTCTTCACTCAGCAATTGCAGGTATGGCTGCTCCCCCCAGCATATACTGGCATGGGCTGGAGTCCTGCCTGTGGCATCTGGTAGATAAGCAGCTTTGTGACTCTGAAGCTTCTGGTTTAGCTCCAGTTATGAATCCTGCTGCACTCCTGAATGCTTATGGCTGGCTTATTTCTAACTTGTAAGGTCTTTGTGCCCTAGCCTCTGCCCAGAGGAAACGCTTGTCCTTTTCCCCTTTGGCAGCACTGATGTCCTGAGATACGTGTCATCTGTTTCTAGGAAGCGATTCCTGCTCAGTGCCCAGGTGGAAAATGAATCACTTCTGGGTCTGTGCTTCGGAAGAGATGTTTTGCTGAGCCCAGCCTGGCATTAGGTCAGTGAACTCCCTTTTACTGCAGCTACAGCCAGCATTTTAGAGCTAGCAGCTTTTACAACTCGTCACGCCACATGCTAGTCCTCTAATGTGAGCCACCCCCATGCAGAAAGAACCACAACTCTTCATTTGTGACTTTACATGTCGCTTTAGTAGTTCAGTGGTGCTTTATCTCATCTGTGGCCTCCTTGAGACATAGAGAAGCCCAAAGAAAACCCTGAGGACAGTGGTATCTCAGGATCTGCGGTGCTAGAAAGCCAGAGGTCGAGCTGATTTTCAGAGCCTGGGGTTTGTGTGTCAAACACAGCGAGCAGCCTGCAAAGCTTTGCTTTTTTATATCTTTTTTAGCCCTAAAATAGTGGTGCTAAAGCAGGCCGTCAGGAGCTGCAGAGATTTGTTTAAACCACCCTGCCTGTCATCCTGGAGACGGGGCTCCGCTGCGGAACGCTGCTCTGCCTCCCAGCACCGTGCCCGCAAGTCCAGAACCCGCTCCACTGGGAAGCAGACGCCAGTTGGCAGCGTCCTCTCACCCAATTTTAGCTGTCTAAATGTTAGACATCTAGTCTGTGCTAACCATCTAGGCTGTCTGTAGATCAAGTGACGTGAGATGAATTCCACCCAGAACGGTTACCAGCCTGGCTCCAGGAAAGGGAAAATTAAATCAAGCTCTGGTGTGCCGAAACATCATCCAGCATAGTGGGTGATGGCAAATTTCATCAGCAAAACGAGGTGGCTCTGGGGCTGAGATTTGTTATTTTGGCTTTTTATAATGAGATCCTTCCTGGGAGGAGAAAAACATCTGCCCAGATGGGCCCAGTGATGATACACCAGTATCAGCGAGGTGAAAGCATCCTTCTGTATCAGCAGGGATAAGCCTCCAAGGACTTTCTACTTTTCCTCCACAGATTAGAGAGTTGGAACATACACCCATGTAAACACTAAAATGTGAATAAAGCTTTGTTATGGCACAGAGGTAATAACAGCAATTGGAGCTATAGAAGTAATGAGTGAAGGTTTCCTCCCGTCTGTGGTTTCCGGAGTTCTGCAGCTCCGGTGGTGGCTGCAGCAGGGCACCACGGTTCCTGCCCCTCCTTCTTGTTTGTTTTTATCCTTTTGGGTTGTGTAGCAACTCAGGAGTCTTACTGGGGATACAAGGGACAGCTGGTTCACAAATACAATTGCAGCATAATTAATTTAAGCATTAACGATCCATTATTATCTGTTATCGCAGGGTACAAGCTCTGCCTTTCTTACCATGGAAACCATAGTGCAGGTTACCTAGGAATCCCTCTGGGATCCTTTAAGTGTAATTGCTGAGGATTTGGATCAGCAAAAAATATATATGCATTGTTTCCCAGCCTCAGCACTGCGGAAAGTGCTGAAAACTTAGCAGCTCCATGACATTTGTGCTGATTTGTCACGTAATTGCCAGGAACAGGCTGCTGTGAAACGGTTAAAGAGCGTTTAGTAAAAGAAACAGAAGGGATTCACTTGCTTCCTCCAGCGTATTACAGCGTCTCCCGTGACTTGAGGAAAGCAGCCCAGGAGATGCTGAATGTGCCAATGTAAGGGGAATGGGCACTTGATAGCAGTGTGCAACTGAGGCATGGAGAAACCTGCTTCTGCAGAAAAGAAGTGGCTGCAGTGAATGTGAGGGTTTATCCTGAGCTGGGGGCTCTTAGTGTCACCCCTGGTTCAGTCCTCACATTACAGGTGCCGGAGTGAGCTCTCTGTTTGGACCTGTACCCAGGTTTTAAGACTTTTGGTTCTGCTGTGGTCAAAAGCTGGTTTCCGACCCCAACTTCTTCAAAGCTGGAAGGTGTGGAGCTGGGCTCAAAACCTAGTATGAATCCAGGATGACCGGAGCAAAGTCAGAGAGGTGCTCTCTTTAGGTACAT